TAATCCAGGACTAGACTTACAGTATGTTGATTTTTATGATGCTGCCGTCTACAGAATATAATTTGAATTATTGAAAATTACGATGTTATTTAGTAAATTTTTTTTTCGTAAGAGCAAGTGAATAAGGACGCATACTATATGTTTTAATAGAAGAGAGACAGAGTCTAGTAGTTTGCGACGCCACCACCGAAAGATGACCAACTACTGTATGGAGGGTCTTATGATGTGACTGAACAGAAAAGTTAGATATTCCTTACGATAGCGTAAGAGGATAAATCTTGGGCTTGTGTCGGAGAGGGCACCGGGTTCGAGTCCTCGGTGAAACAAAATTATTTTTTCGGTGACCTACACTTCTTTTTAATTTGAGTGATAGAAATTTACGATGTTGCATTGCATAAATTATAATCCCTGATAGCCAAACCGGTCGCAACTTTCCGTCGATTTGCTGCAGCAACTTGTCACCAAGTTGGCGGCAAGTCTTGGAAATGAACTCGGTTGTTCACCAAGTTGTCGGCAAAAATTGTTTTCAAAATTCTTTCGCACCAAGTTGACGACAAGTTTCTCGAGAAATTTGGCGACATATTGCGGCAATAGATTGGTCTTGTTTTTCTCAAAAACTTGTAGCCAACTTGACGCCAACAGTTTCAAATTCGGAAGTTGACCGCAAGTTGTCGGTAAGTTGGTGGCAACTATCTGACACCAACTTGGTTGGTCTGAAACTGTGGTTATCAGGGATGTTTGAGTTCTGGTCCGGCACTACAATGTTTTATACTAAAAATTGCTATGTTACCATCGTAATTTTTCATAGGATTTTCTCTCCGTATACAGTGGCCACAAACGGTACTTTTACCCAATTTATTTATTTGTTGATTTTTTATCAATCGTTGATTTACGTTGGATTTAATTGTTAATTTTTTTAAACAAACCTTTTCATATTTCTAATCGACTGATAATTTTGATAACCTCCCAGTTTTCAATTCAAAATTGACAGTTTTTTCAAAACCGACATGTTTTATTGGATCTCTTGTGAAACTGGTCAGTTACTTGACAGAAACTCGATAGTATACTTGCCAGTTTCTGGTTAAAGTCTAGTTGAACGGCTAGTCACTGGTCAAGAACTCAATTTTATTTCTACTAGGGTGATTACTCGATCTGCCGCTTTGCAAGTGGAAACTTTAGACTACCTCTCGCCACCTATCGGCAGCCGCGGAACTATCTACGGTGTATAATATCCATTTCACTAAAAATAAAATCGCGACTTATTCGTTTAAAAAGAAAATTTTTTCTCATAAAACAATTCTTGAATCAATAAAATTATCTAATTAAAATTTATTACAAGGTTAAAAATCAATTTCAAATCACTGTAATTTCTTACAACACTACTTTATTTTCTCTTTTACTACTATTTTTTATAACTTACATAAAAATTTTTTTTTCTCAATATTATTACTTAAATAATAAACATATTTAAATGCAATATAATATCAACTATTTATATTTAATTTTATCAAATTGAATATAACTTTTCTTACGTGTTATAGTAAAACTTTATGTCAAGATTAAGTTGAGGATTTTGCCATGACACGTAACTTTTACTCATGAGTTACTACAGAGTAATGCTCGTGTTAGGGTTTCGTGGAAAGTAAGAGCGTGCTTATGTTTATGCGATCATATTTAAACATCAAAATACATTTAAATTTCATACATACGCTATTATGTATCCTTGCGCTCAATACCGTTTAACATAATGAAAAAAATTATTGACTAACAAGGTACAAAAAAAAAGTGAACATAAATAAATAATGATTGCTAATTCTTGTTAGTCACTAGAGTGGGCGGGAAGGAATATTTTATTTTACAAAAAAAAATCGATATTTTCTGTGTACAATACAAAAATCTATTTTTTGTTTAAATTACACTCGAGCATCATTTTTTTTACAGTAAATAGTAACTCACCGTCCAAGTCAATTTATCAACAATTGACATATTAGATAAATTAATTTGTATTACATAACAATTTATAATTTTCAGTTTGTTGTTATTTCTGGTAGAAAATGATAATTTATAGAATTTATTTTTAGTAATTTTATTTTTAAAGCTGCAGCATGTGCACAGCATGGCTTTGAAAAGCTTTAGCTTTAGAATGTCTAGTTATTAAAATAATAACAATGAGTTTAAACATAATCACTGTTTAGAAATAGTCGGCATTGTAATTTACTTTTTTATACATTAAAATACGGTGATAAAAAATACAATTTATTATTTAGGACTAAAATTCTTTGTGAAAATATGCTTGATTGATTATTGACATTTAAAAATTTTTTTTAATTAGTACCAAAGTTGATAATTACAGTTGATTTTAGAGTTTCATGGATTAAAAAGTGTTTTCGTTACAAATTTGTTACAAACATAATTACCGTTGCGAATTCGGCCATTATCGTGAAACTCGAGTATTGCATTATTGCCTTCAATAATCCAAGTACCAATTATTTGATGCAATTCGGTTTGAACAAATTTTTATTACTTCTTTATAGACCTTATTACCTTTTTTTTTTTATTTCACAGTGTAATTTTCCGGTATAAAATATTTATTGTAAAAAGTTGTATTTTTACATTAATAACAAATTATCAATATAAGTTTTGATTGAAGTAGTTCTTGTTAATTTTAATGAGTAACATGTGAGCGAAATGTAATTACGTTGACGAGTAGCCAATCAATCAAGCATCTATAAGTAATTATTTAATGTCACACAAGATAAAAATAAAAAATAAATTATGTAATTACGGTGAAGTAATAATATTATTGATTAAAATTTGTCATACAAGCGGTAAATATAAAAATAGAGTGATGAAAATAAAACACTGTAGATTGCTACTCAATTAATAACGTAGTGCAATTGATTGTGAAAAATAACTAAAATATTTAACATTGAGTAATCGGTTTTTTGTTTATCCTGTTGCAGGAACTTTGACAGTAAATGTGAGCGTATTGTTATTAAGTCTGGCTTCACCTGACGAATCGAGTTTGGTAAATAAAAAAAAAGTCCAATTTTTTCGATGTAAATGGATTTTGTTTTGTAATAATATATTTTTTTTTTTTTATGGTTGAAATTTTAGAAATACGAAGTTGAGTTTCTCTTGCAACAACAATGGTATGATCCACGTCTACGATACAGTAATCGATCGCGATACGAGTTTTTAAATGCGATCCATCATCATAATGACATCTGGCTGCCAGATACCTATTTTATCATGCATGGTGACTTCAAAGATCCTCTGATTCCGGTACACTTCGCATTACGGATTTATCGCAATGGCACTGTCAACTATCTGATGCGGTATTTATTATAACTAAATTTTTATTTTTAATATTGTCGATATTAATATCATTATCACTACCAACTATCAGTTATAAATCATGATGAATATCAATATCAATATCATGATGAATATCATTACAATATTATAATGAATATCTCTATCAATAAAATGATAAGTATTACTACCAATATCATAATGAATATCATTAACAATATTATAATGAATATCACTATCAATATAATGATAAGTATAACGTCCAATAATCATAATAAATATCGATATCAATATCATCTGAACACTGAAAAAAAAGTATAAGTCCTATCGCAATACGTTTAAGCGTATAGCTTATATCCATATTAAATGCGCCATCTAGTATAACCTATACGCTTAAACGTATTGCGATAGGTTTTAAACTTTTTTTTCACTGAATGTCAATAACAATATCATGATGAATATCGTTACCAATATCATCATGCTATGATAATGATATTATCATGATAAATTTCGTTACCAATATCGTGATAAATATCACTATAAATACAATGATAACTACCAATATTATAAATCATAATGAATATCATTACCAATATCATGATGAATATCACTGTCGCTATAATAATCAATATTATCATCAGTATCATTAATCATGATGAATATCGATATCAATATCATGAGGAATATCATTACCAATATTATAATGAGTGTCACTATCAATAAAATGATAAGTATTACGACCAATATCAATATCATGATGAATATCATTAACAATATTATAATGAATATCACTATCAATATAATGATAAGTATTACGGCCAATATCATTAATCATGATGAATATCGTTACCAATATCATGATGAATGTCGTTACTAATATCACGATACATATCACTATAAATACAATGATAACTACCAATATCATAAATCATGATGAATATCATTACCAATATCATAATGAATATCGCTGTCCCTATAGATACAATAATAACTACCAATGTCATAAATCATGATAAATATCAATATCAATATCATGATGAATATCGATATCATCATGAATATCATTATCATTATCAATATTATGACGAATATCCCTGTCAATATCATTATCACTACCAATGTTGATAAAAATATCATAGTCTATAAGATTATTATTATTTATCACATAAGCTTGCTATTTTTTTAATAAATAAAATTTTACTTTGATTACAGGCGTCATCTTATCCTTTCTTGTCAAGGTAGACTCAATATATTTCCGTTCGATGACCCGCAATGTTCGTTTGCTATTGAGAGCAGTGAGTATCTAACCCAAATAATAAATTTTTTTATGATAAAAATTTTTCTGAAAAACTTTTATTCTGATGCAAAAGTCCTGAAGATACGATCAACCGAGTTATGATTCAAGTAGTTACAGTAACTTCATAAAACTTCTTTTGATTTTCTCACGTATACGTTAGAGAACAAAAGCTTCGTGTTCTTATAGCTTATTAATAACCTAATAAAAGAATAACATTGCACCAAGCTGTAGAATGTAAAGCTGCAAGTATTAAGTATTCACACGCTCTAGATGTGGTACGCTCAGGTGATTCTGTAAAAGAAAAAACTGGTGGCGCTAGTGGCTTTAATATTATTAGATTAACTTTGTCGATTATGGAAAATTTTCCTTTGTCTCAATTATCGATTTTTTATTCCAATAAATAAATTTCTTATTTATAAAATTTTAATTTTTATATTATCTTCAACATTGTAATATTTTCAGTTTCCTATGAACAAACAGCAATTACTTACGTGTGGAAAAATGACGAGGCGACGTTACGAAAAAGCCCGAGCCTCACAACACTAAATGCGTATCTTATTCGAAATCAGACAATCACGTGTCCGATAAAAGCAAGCTGGCGTGGTAAGTAATACTTGTTTTGTTTGTTAGAACTTTAAGCTTATTAGTTTTTTTTTATGTTGTACATTTATGTATATTCTAAATAACAACAAGAGAATCCAATTGTACATTCTTCCCTGAGTTTTAAAACTGATTGCTACAAAGGCTATTAAGTTAGAACAAAGATTTCTGCTGTCGGTTTTTGTGTTCTGTATGGTGTTTCTTTGTATGTACCTGCTTTTTACTTTTATCGTTAATGCTCATTATAATTTCAATCAAGATTATGACTTAGCAACTTAAATTTAACACTGGCAAAAATTTTATAAATTAAATTAATTTAGAGAAAGTTTTAAGAAGACAATCAGACTCGTTTATGTTTAATTGCGCAGGTTTAAATTTATTACATGGTCAATGTTACAGCTACTTATAAATTTTTAAATTAACATGTAAATAATCGCTTCGTAATTTGTATTTTGCATTTAAAGTTACAAAAAAATACTTTGTAGACTAACATATTATCAAGAAATTGATGATAAGTTTTAATAAGGAATTTTTTTAATTTTATATCGGATGTTATATAAATATCGCAGTACAATTTCAGAAGAAAGTACCAATCGAAAATGTTCTTAGCTATAAAATTATCGGAAATAAAGAAAATAAAGAAAATACAAGACGAAGAGACACTAAATGAAATTAATTTTTTCGGGAATTCTATAACTTTTCAATGTTTTTCAGAAAACAATCCTTGGAAAAATGTTCTAATATGGCTAATTGTTATATATGGTCATTAGGGTGTGCCAAAATGTATCTTCCTTGATGGACCTTTTAAAATTGGAATTTTGAGTTCCGCTTTTAACAGGAGTTGTATTTGGGCATTTCCTGTCATATTTTGAGCGTAAAGGATTTATTTGATTTTTTTAGAATTTTTTAACAGGAGTTTTGTTCGAGAAAAAATTCTTTAAAAATTAAATAAATCGTTTACGCCCAAAATTTGTCAGGAAATGCCCAAACACAACTCCTGTTGAAAGCATAACTCAAAATTCCAATTTTAAGAGGTCCATCAAGGAAGTTACATTTTGGCACACCTTAATGGTTATATCAGGCTAGATATGAGAATGAAAAAGTAATTTATTATAATTATTCAATTTTTTTTTAAAATGTGTACTTTAATTAATGCGCTGTATTGGACAAAAATTGGTTTAGTAGTTGACTAAAATCGAATATCTGATAAGCTCCTTAGGAAAAAAAAAAAAAATGAGTTTCATTTTGTAACTCAATACTACAAAATTAACTCTCTTGTAAGGAGATGATTCAGCGATCGTGCGCTCTCTGTTGGAAATTTTCTAAATTACATTAAGTTGAAAAATTATATAAATTAATAAACAACCATATCAAGTCTGAATGCACAGAAAAAAAAATTTACTTGAATCAAATGAATAATTTTTAAGAATTTCATCTTCTTGATTTAAGTAAAAAAATTCCTGAACAAAAAATTTTTTTTTGGTTTAAGTAAATTTTACTTAATTCAAGAATTTTTTGTCTTGATTCAAGACAATCAAACTCTTCAAAATTTTTTTCTTGGTTCAAGAATTTTTCTCTTGATTCAAGTCAATTTTTTTTTTTTTTTTTCAGTATATGGACGTATCAATTTACATCAGGGCATATAAAATATTATACATGGGCATATTAAATCATATCAATTTATTTACATACGGAAAAAAAATTTTTCCATTTTTGATCTAATACCATTGATTTTTAATGTAGTGTATCAGTGGGAAATAATAAACGTGAAAATTAATAAAGTGAATAATTATTTTTAACTATTTTAATAATAAAGATTACATTAAAATTATAATCTACTGAATTAGAGTTGTTAATTGTAACAAAGTTTTATAAATTAAGATTTTAATAATATTCTATGCAATGAATTTAATATTAAGTAATTGATTGAAACGTAAAATAAGCTACGTTAGAAGTTTTTTTTATTTTACTGGAGACTCCGGTAAATATTACTCACATACATTTTTAAAAGTATTGCTGTCACTAATAAATAGTAAAGCGGTGCCCTAACGTCCCATTATCGGACAATACAGTCCGATAATTTTTCTCATGAATTCAATTGTAAATTTTAAAGAAAATTTCTTTCCGTAAAGACAATCAGCTCATGCCGTAGATTTTTCTACGGGATTGTTCAATAGAAAATGTTAGCAAGAACATTTCGCATTAGAGCGCATTCTTCTATAATTTAAACTGAGATAATACTTTTGTTTTCATCCGTAAAATGTTTATTTCTCAATTTCTCAACCTCCAAAGCTACACTAAGCAACCTTGAATGGCAGAATGTCTGAGCTTAAGCAATTGCTGTAAATAGTAAATCCAAGAGAATTTAACCCTCGAGCACTTGCTCTATGAAAATTTAACCCGCACACAACACTAAGCCCCCAGGAGGTTGCGATAATGTAAGGGGGACAGTACGAAGCATGCAAGTGCTCGAGGGTTTAACCTTTATTTTCTGAGATTGGCTCACCCATAACCTGAATTTATTGGCCGTAGTGATAATAAACCAAGCTAAAGCTAATTTGATTCAAATCTCAATTTTGCAATTCTGACTTTAAATTTATACCCTTATTTGTTTGTTATAAATTATCACATAATTTGCTACTTATTTTATTACTTCAACGGAAGTTCATAACTATGCTAATTAAATCCGGATTCATTCGCAGTAGAAAGGCGCGGTGTAAAGTTCAGACAGCATATCAAAGTAAGACAAGAAGGAGTTTTAGAGTTAAAATACCCTTAGATCGAGAGGGATAAATTATATAAAACTTGTTTCCTTCAAAATCAACCAACTTGGGAATTTCGCCAAAAATAAACAGAGACTTTTCGTACAAAGTTCAACAAAAATTTTATTTCAAATGTTATACTGTAAAAAAAAAAAATCTAAGAAAATTTACGATGCAACTATCGTAATGCCGGACTATACTTGTGTTATACTAGTAAGCTTCTAAATGTTTTAGACGAAAATTTACTGATTAAAAAAAATTTTTTTCAATTTACTATCGTAATTTTATCAAAAGATTATTGTATTAAGGGTGTAGTCTATTTTGTCGGCTAAAAAATAGGCGATTTTTGGGAATTTCTCGTGAGCTTGCTATGAAAGATATGTTTATAAAAATTGTTAGGAATGATAAATCAAATCTTAAATTGCAAAATTAAAAATTTTTTTATTAATTTTTTTCAGTTTATTTACACAAAATTCATGCTCAAACGGAACGCCATAATTGGGAAGCAGGTTGGCTCTTACACTAAATATGCACCTAAATACACACCTAAATTCGATATGACAATTGATATTAATTTTGAATAATTGTTGTTAATTTTAAGCAACAAAAACCAAAAAATTGTCTTTGTTTTCACCTATTGCTTGTAATAAAAAAAAAAAAGTAAAATGAATCAACATTTTAACATGATGGTAGTCTATTTTGGGAGTATTTATGTGTAAAAATTTCAGAACTATCGGAAATAAAAATTTTGAAAAAATTCAACATTAAAAACATTTATTTTCCAGAAAAAAATTTTTTTCGATTAGTAAAAAAAAATTTTTTTAATAATCCGAACTCAAGAAAAAAATTAAATTATAAGAAAAAAATTTTTGAAAAAATTGTTTTTTTTTTTTGTATAAAAAAATTCAAATTTTGACAGATATTAAAAACGGTTTATAATTTGTAATTTTTTAAATCTCTAAATACGCATCTTATAATTTTTAAACGACTCAAAACTTTTTTTTCATAAAAAGAAATAAAAAATTTACTCCGCGGACTGAAATCTATTAATAATATAATTTAAATCTAAAAAATTTTACGATAGTTGAATTGGAATATTTCTCAATTAGTGTGAGAGTTGGCTGTGCACAGCGCTAGAATTTATGCAAATGCTGAAGGACGCCAATAGTAGTTTATCTCGGATAGTGTAGAGGGAGTGTCACTGGCTACTAATTAAGAGTTCTGGGTTCGATTCCCGGACAAAAATTCCGATTTGTTTTTTCGACTCCTGCAAAGTTACCAATGAGTCCAACTTCCTACATTCTCCCTCCCTAAAATTTCTTTTAAAAAAAACGACTGTCCATTTTTACGATAGTTGAATTGTAAAGTTCACCAACACATCTTGTATAATTTGCTCTATGGTATTGGACTTTTCATCAAGTCTCTTGATAGTCTTGTTTCTTAAATAAAATTTACAGTAGTAGATATTACACCGTTATACTATTCTATTTAATAAAAATTACGATAGTAAAATCGTTAAAATTCTTTTAATTTTCCTACTCCGTAGTAATTAAAAAAATACTCAATCAACAAAATATGTAGTGAGTTCTCTAATCGAAATGGCAGTGAGCGAGTTAAATAAAACGGCATGTCGTGAAAAATAGAGGCAGAATTCAATCTTTTATCAGCCATATTTTTGTCTCGCTTGCCTTTGTTCTCAGCTATACAATTTTCAGGCTTTTGATAAAAAATAAATATCATATTGTGACGAGAGACGGAACAAAATGGTTTTAGACGAGTAGGTTAACAATTCTCGTCGGCATACAAAACAGTTAACTTCCTACTTGTCGGAAACCACGCTTTGTCGATGCTGTCAGCGTCAATATTTCGAGTCTATATGTGAACGTGCCAACTTGAAACCATTAGCATTTATACTGACATACGTGTCAACTCTGTCAGTTACAGTTAAATTTCTACTATAAATCCTGAGGTTCATTGAGAATGAATTGAGCTATGAGAACTCGAAATTTTAGGATTTGTAATTAAGATAGTTGTCGTGGTTAAGGCATATTGTCAGAAAATTCAAAATTTTTGTATACTTATCAAGGACATGATGATACAATTACCCTTAGAATTTAAAGTCGATTGACCACCTTTAACCCAAGATAAATTCAATTAAAAATTAGATATTTAAAATTGATTACATACGCTCTCTGCAGTTCCGTACCAGTTTCTTAGTTATAAAAATAATAGTTTAAAAAAACTAAAAACAAGCTTTTTATAGAAAACCAAACTAAAAAATAGAAAATAAATTTTAATAAATTTAAATTAAGAATAGTGTTAAAAATTTCAATAAATATAAATTAATAATAGCGTTAATAAAAAAAATGTATTTTATTTTAAAAAAAGCGTGGGGTGCATGGTGTCAATAGTTATAAATATTTTATTGACAGATATGAGTAGAGTGATTATCATTTTGATAATATCTTAAAAAGCACCCCACGCTTTTTTTAAAATAAAATAATTTTTTCTTTTTTATTCACACTATTATTAATTAATATTTATTGAAATTTTTAACACTATTATAATTATTATTTTTATTGAATTATTAAATGATTAATTAATTTTTTTAAACTATTATTTATTTTTTACTTTTTAGTTTGGTTTATTTATAAAAGCGTGATTTTTTAGTTTTTTTAAACTATTATTTATTTTTGACTTTTTAATTTGGTTTATTTATAAAAGCGTGTTTTTTAGTTTTTTTAAACTATTATTTATTTTTGACTTTTTAATTTGGTTTATTTATAAAAGCGTGTTTTTTAGTTTTTTTAAACTATTATTTATTTTTGACTTTTTAATTTGGTTTATTTATAAAAGCGTGTTTTTTAGTTTTTTTAAACTATTATTTATTTTTGACTTTTTAATTTGGTTTATTTATAAAAGCGTGTTTTTTAGTTTTTTTAAACTATTATTTATTTTTGACTTTTTAATTTGGTTTATTTATAAAAGCGTGTTTTTTAGTTTTTTTAAACTATTATTTATTTTTGACTTTTTAATTTGGTTTATTTATAAAAGCGTGTTTTTTAGTTTTTTTAAACTATTATTTGTTTTGTAGAATTAAAATTCTCCTTAGTATTCGAAGATTTTTCAATATTAGAGAAATCGGCTAAAGATATAATTATTGGAAATTAAAATTAACATCAAGTCCTGGCTTATCGACTGTAGTGAAAAATTATAAAAAATTAAAATTAACGTTTCTTACCTTATCGACTGTAGATGAAAATTATATAAATTAACAAAAATCATATTTTGCAAATTGAAAAATGGAATAATTTTATCAAATTAGTGTATTGTCATCGGTCCTCGATAAATCTACAAAGTTTGAACGAAATCTGACCGTTTAAAGTGGGTCAAAATCGCGCCCAAAGAAGTTGGTTACAAACATACAAACATACAGGTGAAGCTAATAAAAAGCGTGTAAAAAAAAACACTAACTGTCAGAAAACTTTCAAAAAACTGACAGTCTTTTAATGTATTTGTTGTGAGTTTAAAAAAAAAAATAAAAAATAATTTTTGACCGTCTAATTATTTGTAAATAATGGATTAAAGTTCAACAATTTATGAAAAAGTGTATATCTACAAAGTCAGTCAGAAACAATTGTATGGGTTGCGTCTCCACGGGTATAGTCTTGCGTAAAAATTATGGATTACTTAGCTACAAGCCTATATACTTTTGCGGCGCGTATAATCTCTAATTTATTGACAATATTATACCATGACAACTACCTTAAATCAAAATTTTTAATATCAAAAAAATAATTTTCTTGAATCAATATATTCGTCGACTTTCTCAAAATATTTTATAAGCTTTGCGTCAAACAAAAAAATTTTGTATTAATTATTTAAAACTTTTATGTGTAAATTTGACACTAATCGCAAAGTAGCGATTTTATGACAATGTTGCGATATGAGCTTAAGGTTCGTGGGGGGAATGTACGAAATCGGTCGTATTTTTAACGTTCGAGGCGAAGCCGAGGACGGAAATTTACGCTCGTTTTCGTGCATTCGCGTCACAAACTTTAAAGCGAATATTGTAAAATCGTTGTTGTCAAAATCACCTCTCAGTGGCCAAATGACATACAATATTTTTTGTTATTATCGCTCCATAAATTTAACTTTTAAGGGATAGCAAGCAAATAATTACACCGATAGAAAATTTATGTTGACTCAAGAGATATTTTCTTGATCTAAGAATTTATTTTGGAAGACAAATGATTATTTTGCTCTAAGAATTTCTTGTCTTGACTTAGATTTTCTTGGCTTAAGAGCTATATTATCTTCAATCGATACATTTAAGTTTTTCAATCAAAATAACATTATCGTTTAAAAAACTTAAAATAATTCATCAAAGTATAATTCAAAAACTAAATAGTCTTTAGTTGTTATACCAAAAAAAAATTATTTCTTAGAAATAAGTAAATTAATTAATGACTCAAAAAAAAAAAGCCATTTTTAACACAAGTCGGTAACATCTTGAATCAATGTTATCGCCTATCTTGAACCAAGAGACAAAAATTCTTGAGAGAAATATACCCTAATAGCCAAACCGGTCGCAACTTTCCGTTGATTTGCTGCAGCAACTTGTCACCAAGTTGGCGGCAAGTCTTGGAAATGAACTCGGTTGTTCACCAAGTTGTCGCCAAGTTGTCGGCAGAAATTGCTTTCGAAACTCTTTCGCACCAAGTTGACGACAAGTTTCTCGAGAAATTTGGCGACATATTGCGGCAGTAGATTGGTCTTGTTTTTCTCAGAAACTTGTAGCCAACTTGACGCCAACAGTTTCAAATTCGGAAGTTGACCGCAAGTTGTCGGTAAGTTGGTGGCAACTATCTGACACCAACTTGGTTGGTCTGAAACTGTAGCTATCAGGGTATCTATATCTAGTTTCAAGAGTTCAAGTTTTGAAAAAAAAAAAAGTTTCTTGAATCAAGATTGTTTTTCTATCAGTATACTTATTTAAATTTTATGAAGTTTTACAAGAGCAAAAAAACTTAATTTTATATTAATTATTTTTTTATTAGTATTTATTTATGGCGTGGTCGTGATTTTATTAACATTAGATCCGCTTCATAATAAACTGCCAGCAGAGAAATAATTAACACCACTCAATAGTAACTAAGTTTAAAATTTACTCAAAATCATCGGTCGGTACACTAGAACTTGATTTATTTCGTTCTAAATTTCATCCGATTGCACAAGGAGAGTATGGAAAAAAAAGGGGGAAGTAAACTTTGCGGCCTAGGCCGCCGAAAACAGGCGGTATGGTAGAGTCTCTAGAGATGAGTATCTTTTCGTACGCCACCCAGCGCTCAAAAGTTGAACTTTTGGAGCGAGTATAACAAAAAATTTTTTACTGTGTGGTATAATCGATAACACCTACACTTGAAATTTTACCTTTTCACGATTGTGTGTGCTTGATGTTAATCATCAATTTTTTATATCAAGTTATTGAAGAAATTTAAAATAGTCTGTTGGTTCTATAATTTTATTCCGTCGGATTTTCCAATAAATTATTAGTAATTGATCTTTTCATATAGCAATGTTATTGTTTAAATTTATTTTAAAAGTACCCAAACAATTTATTGTGGTGTAAACAATATATTTCTTCATAATTCATCATTATTGGTAGCAACATTGTGACAGCAGGTTGCAAGTTTAAATTATTGAACCACAATAAAAAATTATAATTAATAATTGGTGTCCGCAGCAGATGAGTTTAACTCAATATGACAACCGTTTATTTTTAATTATTAAAAAGTTATAATTGATTAAAAGGTCTGATTGCAAATAAAATGACTTTTAAATAATTTATCATTAATAATTTGATGTTCTATATTGTTTGCTCGTATGTATGAAATGTCAGATCGATGCTTATACTGGAAGTAACCTTGTAATATTTATTTGCATGTTTAATTATCAAAGCACGATTAAACTGTATGCATGAATGCAAGCAATGTACGTGAGTGCAATTAAATAAAAAAGTACCAAGCCGAAGCATGATTACTATTATTATTATTATTATTATTATTATTATTATTATTATTATAGCGTTGCTGTAACATACAATAGAAATCGCATTGGCAATCTTGGATTCTGTCTCGCTTTTCAAAGAAATTTTTAAGAGAAATATATAGAGGGTCTTTTAGAAGTAGGGAATAAATGAGTAATTAATAATAAATGAATAATAAAAAAATAAATGATGTAATATTATAATGGGGACGTGAGTAAAATTGGTAGCAGATCGGTGGCTGTTCTGTTGCAGCTGGCGCACACGTGATTGTCGACTACGAGGACGAGTTTGACGAATTCGGAGATTCAAAGTGTTCACTGTGCCAGCGCAGGTTTGAAGAACAAGGTAAAAAATTTTGGAATGTTGATTAGTGTGAATAAAACCTCTATTTATATAAATACAGTTTAAATTTATCTATTAAATTTTTCAATTATAAGAAAAATGAAGAGGAAGAAACTTTCAAAGAAGGAGACAGAACCAAGACTACCAAATATATTTTTTTAGCTTACAAATATTATACCAATTGATTACCGCTCATTGTTATCATTATCAATGTAGCTTAATGTCGCTTGCAAGCTAGTCACTGAGTACTACAAATTTTGTCAATGTCAATGTCAATGTTAATAGGAAAGAAATGTCCAGAGTTTACAACAAATATATTTTATTGAATAAAGAACAGAAAATTAGTATTTTTTAGTTTACCCCAGTGATAAAGTAGAGAAGCATTTTTATGTCGAATTTTAGAAAAATTATTTCATAATTGTTTTTAATAAAATATCTTAATTTTGGTAAAATAATTAGGTAACTACAGCTGTCTGAAAGTGGATCTTATCTTCACAAGGGACCGTGCCTTTTACTTTACCACAGTCTTTATTCCGGGAATAATACTGGTAACGAGCTCGTTCATCACTTTTTGGCTTGAGTGGAATGCTGTACCTGCAAGAGTCATGATTGGTAAGTTTATTACTCTTTTTATTTTATGTACACTGACAGAAAAATCTATTAACTGTTGATAAATTTGTCTTTAAAAACAATTTATTTATTTACTGAATAAAACTAATTGTTTTTTTATCTATTAGTAAATGTTAAAAAAAAAAGTTTTATTAACAGTAAATAAATATTTGGTACACTGAAAAAAAAAAAATACTTTTGCTCAATTAATAATTTCTTGGCTCAAGAAACTCGCTGACGATCAAATATTCTATTATTATTAATTAAGGTAAAGTACCCAGTATTTGAACACTTCTAAAAATGGGACCAGTAGTTGAACAGACTTTTAGAATTGCTGTAATACAAAATCTGTATATATATTATGAGTCATATGCGCATTTTATAATTATTCGATGATACAGTAATTGATTTTGGTAAGTTTTTTCAATTATAAATCAAAACAATTACATTTTTGTTAACTTTAAAGTTGACATGTCAAGAATCGCCGATAGATGCTATTTTTTTTATGAAAAAGGTACTAAACCGTAAACCGAACAACCAATAAAAAAACGGTATATCATCATTTTAAGTGAAAAAAATTGTACCACCCAATGAAATAGTCCTTTCTAAATAATACATATTTTTTGCAAAGACATAAACTATAATTTTTATATTAAATTTTAGCGTTCGCAACTATACCTCCCAATTTTCAAAGAGGTACCCAGAACTTGAACAAGCTGGGACAATATAATTTTAACAGCACTCTAACCTTCAATAGGTTTATAGACTAGTGATCAGTATTGTGATTTGTATTAATTACTGCAAATTAAATAATTTTTATAACTAAACATTAGTATAGTTAAAAATTATTGAACGTTTTGAATTGTGTTTTTTTGATTTATAATTGAAAATTTACTTTGTCATTCATAGAAAATGTAATTAATAAATTAAATACAAATATTTCTCATTTTTAAATGAACATATTAAATATTTATAGTATTATTTTTAGTATTATTCAATAATATGTTATAAATCTTTGAATATTTCAATAAAACGTTAAAAATTTTTGGTATGCCTATTGGCATATATTTTATTAGTTCATCTACTGCTCCCAGAGTGTTCAACTACTGCGGCTTGTCAGAATTGATTGTTCAACTACTACTCCTTTCATAGTCTATCTTAAAAACGTTGTCAAATTATGAATATTCAATTATTTGCGTTATTTTGCACTTCAATCAATTCAAAATTGTTTATATTTTCATGAAAATCACTCATTTGAACTAATAATTACATATTTATATATTAAAAGTAGGGTCAAATACGTTTTACTTTGAAACCTGTTCAACTACTCGGTACTTTACCTTATTTTAAGAATATAATTTTTACTGTTTCAAATCTTAAATTCTCTGAGTGTGAGACCTTCCCCTTCTCCTCATAATATATACTAAATATTGAAACGGCAATTTTTACTGTTGAAAACGGTAATTTTTTAAGATGATCGAGTCGTTATTTACTATAGAGAGAACTACTGTTTTATCCTATTTCCGATATTAAATTATAAATTGTAACTTTTACACTTTCTACATTAAGTTTTGAAATATTTACATTTGTACCACCCCGATGTCCGCTGTACTGTTCGAAACTATAAAAATTAACCGGAATCCGAGTGAATTTTACAGTTTACTTTTTAGTAGATTTTATAAAAATCTAACGATTGCAGCCGTCCTCATGGCGTAACTTTTAAAAAATTCAGTCATTTTCTGACTCAGTTTGTCGAGCTGAGTTAGAAAATGTATATAGTTCAAAAGTTTATAAATGTATGTATGTATGTATATATGTATATATATATTTAATATTTATACGATATAACGCGGCTTGTCAGCACGATAGCGTTTTCAATTTATAACCGATTCTTTTCAAACTCAACATGCTTTATTTATCGATTAAGACTAAGGTTGAGTTCGAAGATAAGCTTAATCGGTCGAGTAATTTGGAAATGACAGGATTTTGAAATTTTGAAAATCGTAAAAATTGATGTTTTTACTACTTCAACTTGGTATAATTACTGATCTAGACAAGATATCATAATTTGGTAAAATGCATCGTAAAGCTCTTTTTAATAAGCTTCAATTTCCACTACTCAGAAGTGGTAATAGCCTCAATATTACTCCTTTTAGAGTTCGTATAATAAAACAGTTTTACTGTTGCAGCCGTTTTAGAATTATTGTCTGCATCATAGCTTCATAATGATGTAAATTCAATAATTAGGATAATGATCAGTCTTCCGTGTAATCTTTTCGGGTAATGCGTCAGTTAATATGTCACAAATTAGTTCTATATATTGTTTTCTTCAATTAAAATTTTATCCGGTTTCAAAATTCTGATTGATTTGGAAACTGTTATTCCTAAGCAGTTACTTAAAATTTGGTCATTTATAATTCAAATCTTATAATCTTTGCAATTCTTTGGTAAATATTTGAGAAACTTTTTCTTCACAAGTTAATTTTTTTTTTTCAAAATCTGTTCTAAATCGTTTCAAATTCAGTATTGAATTTTGTTTTTAATTCATGAATTAAGGTATACATTATTAGTGTTATTATATTATTTTATTAAAAATCATTTTTCTTCATTTAAAAAATCTACTTCCATTTCGGCTGCCGAATGGCCTTTTTTTCCGTGCAATTGCAACGAATTTCCATCCCCACACTGATAGAAGGATTTGTTTATTGTTAAAAATATTTGTTAATATTCAACAAATCATTTATTAAAGACCGCTTTTTAGTCCTTAATAAATATTTCTTAGTATTTAAAACGATTTGTTAATATTTAATAAATGAATATCAGATTTATTAAATATACAAACAAATCATTTTATATACTAAGGAATATTTTTTTAATACTAAAAGGTGGTCTCTAATAAATGATTTGTTAACTATTAACAAATATTTTTTGGTACAAATAAATCCTTTTATCAGTGCAGACAATTATAACATTATAACAAAATTTAGTTGTGAACTTTAAACTTACCGGTGACTCGAGGTAAAGTTTTGGAATAGGTCCGGGTGTTCCTGGTGGAAAAGCTTTCAAATATCTTAGTACTCTTCTTTTGTTTCTTTTGTACACTGCTGTTCTTTCGGTACTTAATGGTTTTTTACCGTTGTCCATTGTCTAAACAGAAAGATAAATGTATAATATTAATAATATAATAATAAACAAAAAGAAAAATGAACGTAGCCGATAATAATCAATTTTCACAATTTGAAAACAATAATAATATGTTATGAAATAAAAATTCACAAATTAACACTGAAAAATTAATAACACCAGTGAATGTATATTTTTTTAGTTTCTTAATAAATGACAGTATGTCTGTTACATTCATTTTCATAATAAAAAAAAAATAAATGAGATCCACGAGAATATTTTGGTATGATTGTCTATTTAAAATCTTGAAAAAAAAAAAAAAAGCTTATTGACTTTTTCAATATTTTAAATTGATAATAATTTGATAAAATGGTATTTATTATGAAAATGAAGTTAACCGATATTTCAAAATTTTTATAAATTTTTTATTGAAAAAATTTCAATTAAACAATCAAAAAAAAAATTGTCACCTGTAAAAAACTTGAAAAACTATAAGTGCAATTTTTTAGAAATATTTTTTTAGTTGTAATTTAATTAATAAAAAAAATCAAAAATTTTTACACGTCTGCTAACTTCAGTATCATTATTTGTTTACATCATACAGTAATTAACTATGATTTTCGCTAAATTAAATGTTAATGAATAATTTTTTTAATTACTTACTTATAAATCACGGGCAACTTTATCTTATTTTATTATATTAAAGTTTCTTCAACGAGACTATAATATTCGATCAGAATAATTAACGAAAATTGAAAAATATTATAGGTTAATTTAAGAAAAGTCACGCTGAAATTTGCAGAACACCTGTTCGATGTAATTGCATAGAGGTTAGGACAAAGTTGTACTAATAAATACTTTTGACTTTCTCAATGAATATCAATTTTCTAATAGAATGCTTTGAATATGAATTTTTATTGTTAAAAGTAATGAAACAATAGCGTATTAAAGTTATATAAACAAAGCACGAAACAACCACTCATGTACATGCAGCGTAGCAACCAAAGTATATTTTCGTCAGGGTACCCAGACTTTCTTTTCAGCGCGTAGCCGACCTGTGGCGCTAAAGTCGCCCAAAGTCGCCGCGATCAATTCAAATTGTAAAAATTAAATAACAATTTTTTTTTTTTCAAATCTGGTTTATTGAAAATTATAAAATTATTATCATTCAACAAAATTATAAGTAAGAGAATACAAAATTCAAGTAAATTTTATGAAGTGAAATTTTCATCATAAATTAGTTTAGATAAATTAACATATATGTTATACTAGGGTGTCCGTTATTTACCAATTTGGTTTTTGACTTTGCAGTGCCCATTAGATTTTTAGTTCGTGACCTATTAAAAAATATCAGACCCATATAAGCCCTTAATATTGATATTGAGCAGAAAAACATGAGGTAAGTGTTAGTCAACACTTTTATTCTATTTATTTTTATTACATGTCTGATCGCAATCCTCAGCCGGAAATAAATTCAGGCATTGTCATTAATTATTTATAGCTTGCTATTCTAAACCAATTAATTTTATTATTAAATTATTATTATTATTATTATTATTAGAAATTGCGTAATAATAATAAATAATAAATTTTGTAAATAAAAAAATCATAATTTTCAATAAAATTTAAATTAAAAAATAAAATTTTATTTAAAAAAAAAAAATTTTTAATCTTCAAAAAAATGAAATTTTCAAAAAAAAATTTTAAAGGGAATTTAAAATATTTTAATATTTCAAAGAAAAAAATGTACATTAGCTAAAATATGGATGTAAATAAAGGATTTAATTGAGTAAAAATATTATATTTTTTTTTCAGAATTTTTACAATCTGAGATGGTTACAGTTACCATCTTCGATTGCAACAGTTATAATTTATAATAATTACAATTATTATTTTTGATAGTAATCATTACCATTATTAATAGTAACTATTACAATTGTCAATGGTATCATCTATTATTTTGTTACTAATTAATTTTATTATCATTTTAGATAGTAAAAGTTAATGATGAAGTTAACCGATATTTCAAAATTTTTATAAATTTTTTATTGAAAAATTTCAATTAAACAATCAAAAAAAAAATTGTCACCTGTAAAAAAACTTGAAAAAACTATAAGTGCAATTTTTTAGAAATATTTTTTTAGTTGTAATTTAATTAATAAAAAAAATCAAAAATTTTTACACGTCTGCTAACTTCAGTATCATTATTTGTTTACATCATACAGTAATTAACTATGATTTTCGCTAAATTAAATGTTAATGAATAATTTTTTTAATTACTTACTTATAAATCACGGGCAACTTTATCTTATTTTATTATATTAAAGTTTCTTCAACGAGACTATAATATTCGATCAGAATAATTAACGAAAATTGAAAAATATTATAGGTTAATTTAAGAAAAGTCACGCTGAAATTTGCAGAACACCTGTTCGATGTAATTGCATAGAGGTTAGGACAAAGTTGTACTAATAAATACTTTTGACTTTCTCAATGAATATCAATTTTCTAATAGAATGCTTTGAATATGAATTTTTATTGTTAAAAGTAATGAAACAATAGCGTATTAAAGTTATATAAACAAAGCACGAAACAACCACTCATGTACATGCAGCGTAGCAACCAAAGTATATTTTCGTCAGGGTACCCAGACTTTCTTTTCAGCGCGTAGCCGACCTGTGGCGCTAAAGTCGCCCAAAGTCGCCGCGATCAATTCAAATTGTAAAAATTAAATAACAATTTTTTTTTTTTCAAATCTGGTTTATTGAAAATTATAAAATTATTATCATTCAACAAAATTATAAGTAAGAGAATACAAAATTCAAGTAAATTTTATGAAGTGAAATTTTCATCATAAATTAGTTTAGATAAATTAACATATATGTTATACTAGGGTGTCCGTTATTTACCAATTTGGTTTTTGACTTTGCAGTGCCCATTAGATTTTTAGTTCGTGACCTATTAAAAAATATCAGACCCATATAAGCCCTTAATATTGATATTTAATATTCATGAAATATAAAATTAGTTTAGACGAATTAACATATATTTTCATCATAATATTGTGTTTAAATTACTCAGGTAATCACACTCGGTCATCAGCATTAAATTATTATCTTTCTCATTCTAAAAGTGTGCAATTATACGTATTGCAATTGAAAATCATCACAAAACATTAAAATTATTCCACAAATATTTAAATTAACATAAAACATGACTAAATTTCAAGTAGTATTCATGAAACATAAAAACTGTGATAAAATTCTTCGTAGTCTTTATTAATTTTTATAAAAATAATAAAAAAAAATTTTCATTCTGTTGTTTAATTTCCAAAGTCGCCTATTGGCGACGAGTCGCCTTCAATAACATTTTAGTCGCCGAGCCTTGTTAAAAGTAGCCTAAATGGCGATAAGTCGCCGCATCTGGCAACCCTGATTTTCGTTTAGTTTCAAGTTGACAATACTAACATAACGGGTCGTATTTATTTACCTGCTAGAGGGCGTTTGGCTTGGGAGATAAAGACATTAGCGGGAAAAATAAACAGAATTTTACGCATAATATATAAGGTAAAAGCTTCAATTATTGACAGGAGTCTAAATATTGACACCCTAAATTATTTTTAAATATATTTAATCATCTTTAATAGGAATAACTAGGGTAAATACCCCAATAGATGGACACCCCCCCCCCAATAGATGGACAAATATTATTTCTAGAAGTAACTACATTAGTTTTAAGAACAAAAATCTTAAGTCGTTATATTTTTTTATGTCTACAAGTAGTTCTGAGGGCAAAAAGTAATTTTTTTTTAACTTTTTATTTGCAATAATAGTTTAAAAAAATTATTTAAATTGGACGTCTCGAGGTTTTGCTCCGAGAGCGCCGCCACTAGTAAGCGTGTGACAGATAGCTGGTGGACATTATTTGTTATTATTATTAAAAATAATAAAAAAAGTAAGATTTGTACATATAATTACGCTTATATTTCACTAACAAAGCTAGAAATATAATATTTTAATGATAAAATCGAAAAGAAATAATAGAATTTAGTGTCCATCTATTGGTGACACTTTTCTAACCTTTATCCAATGGATGGACATTGAGTTTATATGATGAATTTTCTTCTTTTTTTTTTTAATTTTATCGGTGGATCAATGTGAGAATAAGAGTAAAGATTATAGCAAACAGACATGTACTGGAAATGAAAGTATCATTATGATTATTGAAGAAATTGAAGAGAAAAAAGAAAACGCTGAATAAAAGAGAAAATTGAGAGAAGGAAATTTAAAAGCAAAAGAGAACAGACCTATTAAAAGGAAGAAGAAGACAACATAACGTTTTTAACGTTGTGTTTTATAAATTTATATTGATAGTTTATTAATCATTAGTATTCTTTATATTAATATATTTTGTATGTTACTTTACATGAGAAAGCATCACGCGTTCAAAATTAATAAAATTACTTTATGATGTATTTTGAAAATTACCATCCGATTTATCATCTTTTCTCTTTAATTTTATCGAGCTTTATTTTTTAGTGGAAAAAATTAATAAATTAATTATGTCTGATATAAATAATGAATCGAAAATATTGCTTGTAAGTAGTGTCCATCTATTGGTATTGACTGTCCATCTACTGGAGATTTTGTCCATCTACTGGGGTTTTGGACTTTTTCTTACATTTTTCTTTTTCATTAATTACTACAACGTTTTACGAAGTTTTACTTATTTTTTCCTGGTTAATTATATATTTTTACATAAATATAATTTACTTTATCACAACTTATCTGTATATTCCTATATTGTTTTTTTAATAGAATACGAGAGTTTGCTTAACGGTCCATCTATTGGGGTATTTACCCTATCAGTTCAAAATATTAAATATTAATTATTAAAAAAAAAAAAAAAATGAAGTTAGCACCAGGTCATCGAACCAGCTTACGAGCGTCTATTTTCTTAACAACTTTGGTTAGAAAAGCATTTTTTTTTAAGTGCCGAGGTTAAATTGATTTCTTCATCTAATTGTATGATTTTTTTTTTAATTAACAATATATAAAAAATTTATAAAATTGAATATTGAAATTAATTGTATGCTTTATAATATTGTTTCGTCCTAGGCGGACGTATGGGGGTTTTTACGTGCAGACGATACTCAATCTGTAAATAATACGCGTACGCGCCAGTATCTACTAGGCTGTATAGAACTTTATACAGCCCAGGACAATGCCACGCATGCGTCACCAATCTCTATACAGCCGACTAGCTTACGTTTTAACTGTAATTTTAAAAAGCGCACCGTGCGCATGATATGCTGAAAAGACAATATAATCTCAATATTTGTAAATCAATTGTTTTAGTATAGCAGTTAAGTTCATTGATCTCAATTTTTTTAACTCAGGGAACTGTTACTTTAATATTATAAAATTGCGATTTATTAAAAAATATGTTAAAATAACTGCGTTTAAACTATTAATTACAATAAAATTACATTTTAATATTTACTAGAAATTTGAATTAATTAATTTTAACCACTAATGAATCGTGGCCCGATTTTTGCGAGTTTCTACCTATGACTAACTTCAAGACTTTCATGTATTTTTATTGAGAGGGTTATGGCGTCGTACGCTATTTATTTACAAATTGAGTTTCCCCTGCACGCAAAAACCCGCATACGTCCGCCATAGGACGAAAAATTTTTTAAGCACCATGGCAAGCCACGCGCAAATACGGTCTCGGCGATAATTATTTGCAGCAGGGATATAAAGCCTCGGCCCTATCGGGCCTCGGCTTTATACTATCCCTGCTGAAAATACTTATCACCTCGACCGTATTGGCGCGTGACTCGCCCAAGGTACATAAATCACTAAAATAATAGGGTGTCAATAACTAGTTCATAATTTTTAAATTGAATTTTATATTGACAGCCAGTCGACAGCACTATGGCGCTTTTTTTTTTTACTTTAATCTAATTTACTGTAAAAGTTTGAACTTTTCTGATTCAATAAATTATTTTTAAATTAATTTCTATATTTTTAATAGTAATTAATCATTTATGGAAATTATTGTTAATAATATAAAACGAAATTATCAAATTTTTCGAAAATTGCATCTAAAAGCTTGTTAAATAAGCTTTAATTTTTACGTCTTTTTTTATTAGTCTAGACTGAAAATTAACTGTACATCTGATGAAATTTTATTATTATGATCCTGCACGTTTTCAGTAATTTCGGGAAATTTTCCATTTCGGTTGCAGAATGGCTTTGTTTTATTATTTGTGGATTTTTTAACATTGTTAACACTTCTGAATTTTAAAAATTT